ACTAATAAAGACTTTAAACGTGTTAAAACTAATAAAGACTTTAAACGAGTTAAAATAAAGACTGAACTTTTCTCATGAGGCTTTTGTTTGTTTAAAATGAAACTTTCCCAATAACCGTTTTTAATTTCCGGAACATAAGCCGCTGCTTTTCACACGCTTTGAACACCGCGACTAATTGATGAGTTAACGAGCTTCCTGCTTCATCACACCTGGGCGCTCGTCTCTGCCCGGGGGGGAGGGGGTCCTCGTGACTCTGAGACTACCTGTATAAATAAGATGAAAAATATAAATCTGACCGATGAGATTACAGATTAGGTCACGGGGGGAGGGGGGGAGGGGGAACTTCCGCGCAGGACGACGACGAAGCCGGCTTTCAATGACTTCCTGGTAATTACTGTATTAATTTTTAATTTAACGAGTCGTGTTACGACACCGTTCAGAAATAAACATTTACTGTACGTTGTTACCAATACGTATTTAATTAAAGTCTAATAATCTTTGTGTAAATATCTGCTGTTGCAACAGGACGCCCACAGCTTGCACACAAGCGCGGCCTATAAATGTAAAAACTTATTTAATTTAATTTAATTTAATTTAATGGTCGCGTCTTCTATTCAAGTGCTCTGAACAGTCCAGAAGTGATGGAACCACTTCAGGTGTCGCAGCCGCTCGCTCCTTACAACCACTTGAATGTTTGTTCTTACGGTTTTTGGACCTTTGTGGACTCTGTAGGGATGTGATTGGTCCAGAGAGGAACACAGAACGGTGGTTACGGTTTTAAACTACGACGGCCTCTTTGAACGTGAAACAGGAAGTAGACACCCCCGAACCTTTAGAGGCGCTCTTTCGTCACGTGCGGCGTAGTCCAGTCGTTTGTGCAGATGTTGCGCGGCCTCGCTGACCGACCGTCAGGCGGTCGGCCATGTGTGAAAACAAAGTAGGACTACCGGGTACCCACCGTTGGGGACTTGGGGGTCCAGCTGGCGGGGCAGACCTCCCCGTGGGTCTCGACAAACTGGAACGCCTTCACCAAGCGAAGGGTCTCCTCGACGCTGCGGCCGACCGGCAGGTCGTTCACGCTCATGTGCTTCACTACGCCGTTCGGGTCGATGATGAACAGACCCCTGAGCGACAAACCAACATTTTATTACAGACGGCGGGCGGGCGGGCGGGGACAATGTTTAACGTGAGCCAACCTCAGGGCGATGCCCGGACCCTCCAGCAGGACCCCATAGTCTCTGGAAATCTGTTTGTTGAGGTCCGACAGTAACGGGATGTGGATCTGACCCAGACCTCCAGCCTGAAGGAAAAACACACTTACTGAGCGCACACCCCTCCAGGTCTGACGCCAGGAGTTTCTGCATTTTATAATTAAAAGTCCAAATGAACTTTCACAGTACTTTTCTGGGAGTGTTGGTCCAGGCCAGGTGGGTGAAGTGCGAGTCCACCGACACCCCCACCACCTCACAGTTGACGTCGTGAAACTCGTTGGCCTTGTCGCTGAACGAGATGATCTCCGTGGGGCAAACGAACGTGCTGCAGGACGACAACGAAACCATGAGCGACGACATCGCCGACCCTCCGCAGGTCCGGTACGGGTCCTTCAGGAGTACTCACAAGTCCAGCGGGTAGAAGAACAGGACCAGGTACTTGCCCCTGAAGTCAGTCAGACTCATCTCCTTGAACTCGCCGTTGTGCACGGCCGTCGCCTTGAAGGGGGGGGCCGGCTGGGTGACGGCTGCAGCCCATCTGGAGCAGCCTGATAAAACACGGGCCAAACGGTTTTACTCGTTTATCACCGTTAGCCACGCGCTAACGGTTTCCTTCATGTCTACGTGAGTTGATAAACCACGAAGAGAAATATCAGAAGGATCTGAAACTTTCAGCTGGACGACAAAATGATCACATTTATTTAGAACTAGAAAAATGCATTTCCTGCAAAATACAGTGAGCGCTGAAGAACAGCTGAAATTAGATAAAAACAAAAAGGCTGAATTTTAGCTGAAATGGAAAAACATGTCTTAGCAGAAGAAAGCAGAACGTTTGCTGAATGCAGTTTAAATGAGCACAGAAAGTAGGAAATTAGCTAAAAAAAAAAAAGTAGCTGAAAAAGGCAGAAAGATGCTTAAACTACCAGAAGTGGAAAGAGCTGAAATGAGCTAAACATGTGGAATTAGTTGAAAATGCAAAGAATAGCATAAAACAGCTGAATAGTAGCTGAAATAACTGAAACTATCAGAAATAAGTTGAAAGGAGCATAAGAAGCTGAAATCAGCATAAATGAGCAACAAAAATGTCGTAACTTAAAAAAAACAGCTGAAATGTAGCTAAAAACACAGAAGTTCAAATTACCAGAAGGAAGTGGAGAGAGCACATTTTTGCTGAATTAGGATGAAAAAAGTTCGAATGAGTGCAAAAAAATTGTGTAACTGACTGAAAAAGCTAAAGTTAACATAAAAAATGTTAAAGTAGCTGAAATGGCAACAGAAATTAGATGAAAGGAGTACAAAACAGCTGAAGAAATAAACAGTTTAAAGTAGCTGGACATTTTTTAATTTTCTGAAAGAAGCTGAACAGAAAGTGAAAGGAGCAGTAAAAGGTTGTGAACGGATCTAAAGATCTGAAGGATGGAAAATGAGCTCAATTCATTTTCTGAGGAAAAAATGTCAGAAAAGGCTAAAATGTTTCAAACAGCTAAAGTTGCACCAATACCAAAAGTCAGAGCAGGATTGTCCTGAAAAAAAAAAAAAACGTTTTGATTCATGATTTGTTGAAATAGTTTGAAAATTGTGGGAGGAGCATCGTGCTGAGAAACGTTCAGAATAGTTTAATATAACTGGAAGAATACGGAGTAATAATAAATATAAACAGGATCACAACAGTGTGAATGCTTCATAAACATCCACACATTAATCACAAGGTGGAAAACCCCCGGAGCAAAGACTCCTCACACAAAGAGGGGGGCGAACCTGCGGCCTTCGTGCTGTGAGGCGGCAGCTCCGACCACCGCGCCGCCCCAAGCGGCCAGTATCATTAGGCCGGTCCTGTTTAGGTACGTACTGGTGGAGAGGAGGCGTCTGTGGAGGGAGGCGCCGCAGCCTTCATGTTGACGAGCCGCTGCGACTCTCAGCCCTCCTGATGCGAGCTGCGCCTAAACAACAACAACAAACAAACAAACAAACATGCTGGCTCTGAAACAGGAAGCCTCACTCTTTACAGACTGAAACATCTTCGGCTGATATTTAGCAATGGACTCTAGGCTGCGTTAACGTTTTAGCTATTTTCAACTTCTGTTTCACACCATTTAGCTTCAGACTAATAGTCTGTTTAGCTTCTAGAAATAGTTTTTTCATTTTTCTATTTAATATTTATTTAAACATGTAGTACAACAATACTAATGATTAATAATTTAGCTTTAAGCTAATGTTCTGCTTCATTTAGCTTTTAGCTATTCTATCTTTTAGCATTAGCTGTTCAACTTTAGCTTCTGTTTCACACCAGTTAGCTTCAGACTAATAGTCTGTTTCCTTTAGCTTCTAGACATTTTCAAGTTCAAGTAGGTTTATTGTCATTTCACCACATGGTACATGAAGAGGAACTAAATTATGAACACGGTCCCAGTTACACCCAAAAACAGCAAAAGTATAAAGTGTCAAAAGAAATGGTAAATACAGATCTAAAGTATACACTAATATATGCTAAACACTAATAATGTAAAACAATACGGCTTAACAACAGCAGCACGAACATGAGTCTGTGAGTAGAGGAGTACGAATGAACACAGCAGCATGAAATAATCAGCAGCATGAGATCAGCAGCACAGACAAGTCACATGTTGCCAATTAAAGTGGAATTATAGTGGTTTTTCACAGTGATTATTCTGGTTAGAGATTCATGAGTCTAACTGCCTCAGGGTAGAAGCTGTTCCTCAGTCTAGTGGTTCTACACTTAATGCTCCTCAACCTCCTTCCTGAGGGGACCAGGGCAAAAAGTGTGTGTGCTGGGTGAGTGGGGTCCTTCATGATGCAGGTGGTCCTCTTCCTGCATCTGGAGGTGTAGATGTCTGTGATGGTGGGGAGACTGACTCCAACATCTTCTGTGCAGCCTTCACCACTCTCTGCAGAGCTTTTCTTTCTGCAGCTGTGCAGCCTCCATGCCACACGTTGATGCTGGAGCACAGGATGCTCTCCACTGCACACCTGTAGAAGGAGGTGAGGACTGAGCTTCCAGACCCGCTCGTCTCAGCCGTCTGAGGAAGTAGAGTCTCTGATGAGCTTTCTTCATCAGGCTGGTGGTGTTGTTGCTCCAGCTGAGGTTGTTGTTCATGTGTACACCCAAGTACTTGTAGCTGGAGACCACTTCCACTGCAGATCCTCCTATGGGTGTGGGGTGGGGTTCAGTCTAAAGTCCACCACCATCTCCTTTGTCTTCTTCACATTGATGTGAAGGTTATTCTCTCTGCACCAGCTCTCCAGGTGTTCCACCTCTTGCCTGTAGCTGGACTCATCATTGTTTGTGATGCATCCCACCACCGCTGTATCATCTGCAAACTTTACAATGTGACAGCCTGGATGGGTAGCTGCACAATCATATGTGAGCAGAGTAAACAGGAGGGGGCTCAACACACATCCCTGAGGAGAGCCAGTGCTGAGGGTTATGGTGGAGGAGGAGAAGTTGTGGATCTTCACAGACTGTGGTCTGTTTGTTAAGAAGTCCAGGACCCAGTTACAAATGGAGGGGCTTAGTCCTAGTGTGAGTAGTTTGTCCATCAGGGTTTGGGGGATCATGGTGTTGAAGGCAGAAGTGAAGTCCACAAAGAGCATACGGACGTAGGAGTCCTTCTTCTCCAGGTGGGTGAGAGCAGTGTGGACCACAGAGGAGATGGTGTCTTCTGTTTATAGATTCTTGGACTATGCATACTGGTGAGGTTCTCGTTGATGTGGATCATGACCAGTCTTTAGAAGCATTTGGCGACTATCAGGGTGAGGACTAATGGCCGACAGTCATTCAGACCAGTCACTGCAGAGCTCTTTGGGACTGGGATGATGGTGGCAGTCTTCAGGCAGGTGGGAACTGTTGCCAGGGTGAGGGAGGAGTTTGTCGACCAGCACCTCGCAGAGCTGATCGGCACGTTCTTTCAACACCTTCCCCAGGATGTTGTCTGGGCCAGTTGCCTTGTAAAGATGAATCCTCCTGAAAGTACTCCTCACTTCAGCTGAGGTCACGCTGAGAAGCTCTTCTTCAGAAGGTGAGGTGAGTCTGGTGCTGGGTGCTCTATTTGGGTCTTCAAAGCAGACATAGAACCTGTTAAGAGCATCAGGCAGTGATGGGTCCCTTGTGCACTCCTGCTGTTCTAGTCTGTGATGCACAATGTCCCTCCACATGCTCCGTGGGTCCTGTGAGGAGAAATGTCCCTGGATCTTCTTGCATATGTTGCTTTGGCCAAAGGAAAGAGCTGGTATAAAGAGTTAGACCTCCCCCGTTCCTGTGAGTCGCCAGACCTGAAGGCAGTATCCCTGGCTTTCAGCAGGGTACGGACCTCTGCGCTCAGCCAGGGTTTCTGGTTCGGGTAGCTCTTCACAGTCCTGGTGGTGGTGACATCATCCACACACTTGCTGATGTATCCGAGGACAGATGATGTGTATTCCTCCAGATCCAGCTCTCCCTCATTTACAGCGGCCTCTGAAGATCTGCCAGAAGCTAGTGAGCTGCTTCCTTTAGCTTTTAGCTACTGTTCCGTGCCTTTAAGCTTCAGCTCTTTCAGCCGTTCATCCTCCACAGTTCAGACTTTTCACTGAAACTGCTGCATGTCATTTTTCTAGTCGTTCGATATCTGCAGTTGCTGTTAATAAAAGTTGTCCACTTTAACAAACAAAAATCGGCTAAACAAACTTTTTAGTAGCTTTCAGACCAAAGTTTCAGTGTTCAGCATAATTACTTTTGCAGAAATGGTTCTGATTAGATTAAATCATTATTTCTCAATTTTAATCTCATTTTTACACCGGCTCCTGAACAAAGTGTGATTTTTAGTGGCTTCAGTTTGAAGTATGTAATAATCTGTTGTTTTAAAGTCCTGTTGGAAACATTACGGCTGACCTTAATAATAATAAAGTTTTAATAAAGGACCCTGGAGTTTGAACCAGTGTCTCACTGAGGGCCCGCGGGCCACATGTTGGCGCCGCAGCGTTTAGAAAACCGAGCAAACGTTCAGGTACGGCTGCCCGGTACCGACACCGGGCCAGTACCGACCGACAGACCTATTAAATTACACGCGCACGGGTCGGCCGTGTTGTCCTACTCACAGAGCTCCGGAGCAGTCGTGCTACGGTGGCGGCCATCTTGGATTATGTCACAACAGGTTTGACCGGGTCATTCAGGCACGTGCTGCTGACGTTTGGAGAAAATACAAATAAAAAAACTAAACAATCCTTTGATAACGTGTTAGGTTCAGAGTTATTGTTTTATAAATCAGAGCACTAAATGGTAAAATTAAATCATTTACGAAAAGGAGGAAAACCGTTGTGTTGCCTTCAGGAACCCGCATTGCAGTGCGGAAAAAAAAAGGTTCACTTAAAGCCCGAAGCTCGTTGTTAAAACGTTAGAGTTGAACTCACAACAAGGAATTTCTATACATTAATAAGAGCTTCGTAATAATAGCAGGCGTGCATTTTATTTCCCATTCGTATAACTTCGGTTTATGTTATTTTCAAATGTCTAGTTGATTATTTGTAGAAAACATGCGGCTCTTGTATGATAAACGTTGCTCAGATAATAGCTTGCATCGAGTTTACTTAAAATACTTTGACTCAGATTCGTCTCAACGTGTTTTTCGCAGCCCCGAAGAAAAAACTTCGAAGTGAACGTAGTGGACACCTGAAAAGTCCTACTTTATGTTTGCAACATGAATGTACCACCGTTTGTCACGTGATTCAGAGCGGAAGTGTATTCTAAGCAGGACCTGACCTCAAAGCATGAGACAGTGTCGTTTTGATTGTATTTTTTTTAATAAAATATAAATATTTTTGTTGCTCTAATGGATCCTAATCTGCTGCAGTGGAGACAACTCGGACAGGTGACTGATTATTGCACATCTTCTCCACCAACACTGTGGATTAAATTAAATGTGATGGATTCATCTGATGTTTTTCTGTCTGTGCAGTCTTTTGTCCATCGGTTGCAGACCTGGGTCAGTGTGTTGGACCCGTCTCTGCTGCTCTCCTCTGATGTACGTTTTTATCTCTAACCCTGTGATGCTGTGAGATGCTGTACCTGCTTTATTTACCTGCTCCTTCTCCTCAGCCTGAAATCGTGAAGGCCCACGATGCTCTCCTCGCAGGTGGACAGCAGCTGAGTGAAAAGGTCAGGCTGGGTTTTTATTCTGTGTTCAGTCAGAGCTGCAGATCCTTCACACCGTCTGTTTCCTGTTTCAGGAGGAAGCTGCAGTGATCCTCTCCCTGGTAAGTCTCAGCAGACTCATCTTTTGATCTCTTATGACGTGCATCACTACAGGAATGACTTCAATTCGATTCAAAAATACTTTATTAATCCCAGAGGTAGATTAAATGTAACTCATCATCCTGGTTTCATTAAAGAGTTGTTCTAGATGCTGATGCTGTGGGCAGGAAGGATCTCCTGTAGCGTCTGTCCTACAGCAGCTCTGAAGAAGCCTCTGACTGAAGACACTCTGTTGTTGTATGACAGTCTGACGTATGACAGTCTGATGTTGTATGACAGTCTGATGTTGTATGACAGTCTGATGTTGTATGACAGTCTGACGTTGTATGACAGTCTGACATATGACAGTCTGATGAAGAGGGTGCTGAGGGTTGTCTATAATGTTCTTCATTTCATGAAGAATCCTTCTTTGTACAATCGTCTCCAAAGGTTCTAGAGGAGTCCCCAGAACTGAGCCAGCCTTCTTTATGAGCTTCTTGATCTTTTTGAAGTCTCTTGCTCTGGTGCTGCTCCCCCAGCAGATGATGCAGAAGAGACAGCGCTCTCTACAACAGACTTATAGAAGATATGCAGCATCTTGCTGCAAACGCTGAAGGACTTCAGCTTCCTCAAGAAGTACAGTCTGCTCTGTCCCTACTTTCTCTGCCTTTTATTTTGCTTATTAACGGCCTAGTTACCAACATTGCAGTTGTGGACAAAGCCTGTCCTCTCTCTGTCGTATGGCTTTACGTCAGGCCAGTAAAACTGATCTGGTTCTAAAATTATTTCAATCAAAGCTCAGGTGAGCAAAACTCTACAGATTCCACCGAGACATTATTTATGAAACGACGACTGGTTTCAGTGGTTTCCACAGGATCTCAGAGATTTAGGATCAGGGGCTGCTGATCAACTGATGGGACCACCTGTGATCAGCAGCATCCAGGTGTGCACACAACGCCAAGGCAGAAAGACATCAGCAATGACCTCAGAGAAGCAGCTGTTGCTGCCCGTCAATCTGGGAAGGGTCAAAGGTCATTTAGAGTCCATTTACAGAGAGAGATTATTCAGGGGAGGAAAACATTTCAGACAGCTGTCAATCTTCACAGCAGATCCACCCTGAAGGTCAGACTGTGCAGTGACTTTACAGGCCTCAGTCAGCAGGTCAAAGGTCATGACCTCCTCAAAAACAACATGGCAGCACCACTGAGGTTTGGAAAGTTTCATCTGAAGGAACCACCAGACTTCTGGACCAGAATCAGAGCAGAGGGCAGATGTTTACCCAGAATGCACTGCAGCAAACATCTCCAGCTGTCAGCACGGTGGTGGAGGCTGATGGTTCGGGCTCCTGTCAGTCACTGAGTCGACCAGAACTCCTCTGGAGACCAACAGGTTCTGGAGAACCATCTGTCCGAACAACTGACGCTTGAACCAAACTGGGTCCAACAGAACCATGATCCCAAACACAGCAGCTGATCTACAACAGAATGAGTCAGAACAGAACCAAGGTCCAGTCAGAGTCCAGAACCTCCACCTGACTGATTCTGTGGTGGACCTTCAGAGAGCTGAGCAGAACCCAATGAAGAGCATAAAGAAGAGCGGGCCAGAGCTCCTCCAGAACCATGAGAGAGACTGGTACTGAAAACCACTGAGGGTTCTGCTGCTGGTGAGGTTCTACAGCTGCTGGTCAGAGCTGTGACTCCGTGGAATCTGTTGTTCTGTTCCCTTCATGTTTAATTAGAACCCGATCGGTTTTATCATTTTTAATGTTTTTCCATGAAATGAACTGTTCAGAGAAACGTTTCACCTCCTGCCTCTCTGTGTTACAGTCGTCGGTTCATGCTGATTCTGGATCAGTTATTCCTTTAGCTTTCCGCCCCCCAGGTACCGTTCATAACATTTCTGTTTGAACAAAACTTTAAAACCTTCCGTCTATTCTAACCATGAAGTTATTATGGAAACTTTTAGATTATTACATTTTGTTACAGAAGAAATGCATCACAAGCAAGATCTGAAAAGAAAAAGATCAAGTTTAAAAACAAAATGTTTACATTTACTCATTATCTGCACAATTGTGGACATATAAGACATCTCATGATTATGACTTAATGTCTCATAAATATGACTTGATGTCTCATAAATATGACTTAATGTCTCATAATTATGACTTAATGTCTCATAATTATGACTTGATGTCTCATAAATATGACTTAATGTCTCATAATTATGACTTAATGTCTCATAAATATGACTTAATGTCTCATAATTATGACTTAATGTCTCATAATTATGACTTGATGTCTCATAAATTTGACTTAATGTCTCATAATTATGACTTAATATCTCATAAATATGACTTAATGTCTCATAATTATGACTTAATGTCTCATAATTATGACTTGATGTCTCATAAACATGACTTATGTCTCATAATTATGACTTAATGTCTCATAATTATGACTTAATGTCTCATAAATATGACTTGATGTCTCATAAATATGACTTAATGCCTCATAAATATGACTTAATGTATCATAATTATGACTTAATATCTCATAATTATGACTTAATGTCTCATAATTATGACGATGTCTCATAAATATGACT